TGGGAAAATAATAAACGCTTCAAAAACTTTAAGCAGAAATTTTTTTTCTCTCCTAAGCAACTAGTTAGTGCTTAGAGACGGACACATTCTTCTCCTCAGCACAAACTAGTCGCTCGGGAGAGAGCATTTCTCTCCTCTGCATCGAGTAATTGTTTTTTAGAGAAATGTTTTGTTATTTTTTACTAGTTTGTGCTTAGGAGAGGAATGTTTTTTCTCCTGAGCAACTAGTCAGTGCAAAGAGGGGAAATGTTATCTCTCCTGGGCAACAAGTCGGTGTAAGAGAGAGAGAAATGTGTTCACTTCTGAGCAACTAGTTAGTGCTTAGGAACAGATAAATTCCTCTCTTAAGCACAAACTAGTTGCTCGGGAGAGAAAACATTTCTCTCGGAAACAGCTACTTAATGCAGAGGAGAGACATATTTTTGCTTTCCTGGGCAATTAGTTTGTGCTCAGGAATTCCTCTCTTCCTTTTCCTTTCATACTCCTTTTTTTAACCGAACCATTCGCCTTCAGCTGCGTCTGCAGCAATTGTTGTTGGGAATATGTTGTGCGGGTTGATTTCAGCACATTACATACTCGACTCCCTGAAGGCGTTTTATATGCGGAAGTGGCGCAGTCTGTTGGAGAATCAACGAAGTAGAGATTGAGGGTTCATTCAATCTGACCTCTGTTGTTCTCCAACAGGTTGCTCTACTTTCGCACATAAAACGCCTTCAGAGAGTCAAGTATGTAATGACCCGAGATCATCACGCACAACATGTTCGTAACAACAATTGCTGCGGACGCAGCTGAAGGCGAAATGAAAACTTCCGTATTATACTCGTTGAAAAACACTATAGCTCTTTAATTAATATTTTTTTTTTTATTAATATTTTTATTTAAAGTTGTATTTTATGGTCTTTTTATGTGAGATTCTCCAAAAGCAGCTAGAAAATTCCAACCAAATTTGTATGTAATATTTTCGTTCGGAGTATGAAGTAAGAACTAAAACTTCATGATGGCCGGACGCCAGTTTATAAATTTTGAAATTTTCTCTCACATGGATACCTACAGTCAAGGAAGTCTCACAAAAATAAAGCCCGTAATATTCTCTCCGAGAATATGTATGGACACGATCATAAGAGATCCTATCAGTAGATATAAATCAATCGCAGATATGCCGTTTCTAAAACGAGCCAAAAGTAGGCTCTCTTCCGCTTAACTCAGTCCATTTAATCAACCTGTTGCAACACCATCCTGTTCTACTATGTTCCACAGGCACGAATACACCCGTCGAATGCCCCGGAATCCTAGAAACCGACCGCCCGGTGGACTGCATACATATGGAGCAACGGAGCGNGGGGGGGGGGGGGGGGGGGGGGGGGGGGTGAGGATGGACGTGTCGAAAAATGTAGCGGGTGATAAATCACAAATACCGGGGTGAATTAGAGTGAGGGGACAATAATATCGGGAGAACGTGACAAAGCAGTCTAATAAATCAATCAGTAGTCCGGAGCGTCGCGCTCGGCTCGTGGAAATCGCCGCCAGAGGTCGCTGGGGGCGGAGCCGCCGCGACGTTGTCCCCGCGTCGACAACGACGGAAAAACAACGAGTGTGACGTCAGACCGCGGAATCTTCCGGTGCTCGAAGATTATGCGTTTTGAATGGTCGCGAGGATTTGACCTCGTCGGTGGGCAGGATTGGATAAGTAATGGTGTTATTGTTGGTCATACTCACTTGCCGTTCATTTGTTTCTAACTGAGGAAAAAATATGGTTCTGCCACGGGACTCTTCGAAGTTTGATGCTCAGTGCTGTTGTTTTCCGGGATTAATTCTGAATTCCGGAATTTTTGCAATTTCTCAAAATTTCCGGAATGTTCAAAAATTTCGAGCCAATTTTGAAATTGTCTTCACATTTTGGAGTTTTTCGTCAGTTTGGCCGATTAAGACCAAATTTGATTATTTTTAAGTGTGTCAGTAGGGCTCGCTTATTGAAATCACTCGGATGTATCATAGTGCAGCACACCAATAAACCAATGCTAGTCAATGGGCGGTCCAATTTTTTTTCCGTCGAATCCGTTTTTTCGTGTTTTAACCGTTACATTGTCAAACCCTCATGATCATTCATCAAAAAACCGAATTGACTCTTCTCTTCAGGAGAAGAAGGGTTCACTTCACACTCTTGACTAGTCTGGGGAGTTGGAGCCCAGCTCCGCCCTTCAAACGCAAGTCTGTCTACGAGTCTAATCGTCTGATTCCTCACCGCATCAATGCAAGCCACGATAGCTCAGCGCGAGATTCAAATACCTAGGCAGGGGTTCGAGTCCCGACTGAGCAGAGGGGTGAATTTTATGAGCCGCCCTGCGCCGTCGTAGCGCGCATGGCGCGGGACCCGCCTTTCATCATTGCACTTCATCCAGCGTTGAGAGCTCACTATTACTTCATACAACCAGTGTTTAATTTAAAAAGTCGAAATTGAAAAAAAAAAATTAATTATACGATATACGAGTTTTTCCGCCAGGGAGCTCTCCTTGCAAGAAATCGTTTACCACCCGCCCGTCGGGAGCGCCGTGGCGTGCTGTCAGCACGAAACATGCACTGACGCCTACAAACCCAAGGGGATACTTCACGCATTGCGCAATGCTTGAAGTATCCCCTTAGGTTTGTAGGCGTCAGTGCGCGATTCGAGCTAGTAGCACGCCGAGCTCCAGCGTGCCACATCAAATTCGAAATTAGCGACTCAAAAAACATCCGTCACGAAACTTTCGTGATTTCTCAGTCATTATTCGACTTATCTCTTCCTATTCTTGAGTTTTGGACCATAGTGCGCCGCGAGTTGGCGGCGGCGGCACATACAATTTTCCCCGGTGCTCTACCGCTCAAGCCCCACCGGGAGGTTTTTTTAGTGATTGTATTGAATGTTTAAGACCTATTATCAAACAAAATTGAAACTAATCAATACTAGAAAAAAGACAAACGAACATTTTCTTGTAAGTTAATATGTTAAACAAAAATACTGGAATATACTTCCATCATACAATCAGCCACATGTTCACCCGCATTAATGATATTATTTTGTTTTTTCAATGAAGTTAATTTAAATTCAACACTTATGATTAATGTTTTCCTAGTTTTAGCAAAACGTACCTATTGATACAAATAGCAAAGACATGAAAATAGTATGGCTCCAACATTTCAGTTGTTCGGCACGCTTTTCCAACATATTCATGATGGTATGTCTCCTTGTTGTTGTTGTTTTTTTTAAGTTAAATTTGACAATCTCCTGAAATGAATCCGAGCCCATTTTGGAATTTTTCTTGGAAAAATTGTGTTTTGATGCTTGATCTTTGTAGATCAGCTAAAAATAATACGATCCGTCCAAACAGCATCTCTCTACGTTTAATATTAACCAAGATATCGTGCTTTGAAAAATTCGTTAAATGACGTTATCCATGCACCGCGGTAGTGACACCTTTTGGTCTCATCCACCTTTGTTTCATCTAAGTTTCACGTGGAGTAACCAGTGAAAATCGTCTCACTGATTGATGAAAGCAAGGTGAATGAAACCAAAGGGTGTCACTTCCGCGGTGGATGACGTTATTAAACGAATTTTTCAAAGCGCGATATCTTTTTTAATATTAAACATAGAAAGTTGCTGTTTGGACAGATCGTATTCTTATTGGTTAATCTGCAAGAATCTTGCATCAAAACACGATGTTGTGACCAGTGCAGCTGACCCATTAAGATTTTACAAAAAATGGGGCTTTTAGGTACCAGGGTACCAAAACAAACCAACATCCACTTCCTTTTCTGCGTGCTTTGGCTTAGCTCGTATGTATCCCTGCATCCACTTTATGGTGCGCAAATACGGAGAAGAAAGTTTTTCTCTGAGCTCTGGCTTTTTAGGCAGGCAGACTTGATCCCTGAGACATTTCACACGCAACAAGCGTTTATGACCCATTGAAAAGTCATAAATTCTGAGAGGGGAAGAAGAGTTATGAGATAAAATCCGCGCAGACGAAACACGAAATACGGCTCCAGCTTTTTCATAACCCACCTAGCCATTGTTGCCGAATAATTGCGTCTTCGGTACATGACTCAAGTTTTATCGAAAGAGGCCGTCCATAAATTCCGTCACTCTGGGGTGAGGGGAGGAGGGGGTCTGAGTTCGCGCACAGGGGTGAGATAGGAGGCACACCACTCTGTGATGTTACCCTTGATAAAGAACATCCACACGCCCTTCCCTCCCCTATTAGACCAATTTTACCAGGGAGTTGCAATGTGCGGGGGCTCGCGACATATAAACCTAGGGTTTTAGTGCCCTCCCCCTCCGCAATTGAATACTTCAAAACAAGAAAACGAATCCATTTTTCTTCAGGTTAGAATAGGAGAGACCTGGGTAAAGAAAGACGGAGGGGGTTAAAAGATATCTGCCCTTCTACGCCTGAGCTTCCTAATTAAAGTAAAAAATGGACAAAATCAGGGTATTTTAGTCACCGTATGATAACTTACCACCCGAAGTTTGAGCTACATGATAGAAAGTATATTTTTTAATGTTTTTTTCTTTCATCTTTCAGGTCTTTCTTTACTATTTCGGGGTAAAGATAGACCTGGTCCTTTTTGCCTCATATATTGCATGGGAAAAATTTGACAGGTATCAAGAGTCTTTCACTAATAGATTCGGATCGCTTTTTCAAATTTCAAGCCAATCGGATGAGTTTTGTATGACTTAAATGTGTTTCAAATTTGAACAAGGGAAGTTTACAAATTTAATTCTAAAACTCGAGTTCCAAATTTTTATCACAAAAAACAAAAGAATGCAGATTATGGGCTTAAATCTAGTCTAAATACTCTACAATGAGGTTAAACACTGAACTAAGGGCTTATTCCTTCTTGTTTAGTTACTTAAATTTGAAATAGGTACCAGCAGGAGCAAAAATCTCGCTTTACCCCGGTCTCCCCTATAGGCTAGGGATTATATTATTATGTATAATGTGATGGTGTCAGAAAAGTGCCAAATATAGACGAATAAACAATTAAATGAGCTATATTTTTGAAGTGTGTCTCAAGTCCAACTTGGATCTACAAAATACGACCATAACTATCTCTTTTTTCCCTTTAGCAATCGGCCACTTTTTATTGAGTTCGAGCCCAGCTCTCCTTCTAATCATTGAATTTAGCCCAGCTCTAGCTTCATACTTGAAGTGTTTCTCATCGTTCATAATTTTGAAGTGAATTACAATAGCTCGGTTGAGTCGTGACTCCGGCCTAGGAATTAGGTAGTATTTGAAATCGCAATGTTTTTCTACTGCTTTGCCGTCCTTACATAACACGTTGAACATCTTACTCAATTGATGCATCTCCGCTTCCACGAAAGTCTTGTAACGCACGACTTCACTAGAGTAATCTTCTTTAGCCGTGTCTTCTAGATATTTCTGTAAATCATCTTGTAAATGTACCCCTGCCTCATCGAATTCGTAATTGGCAATCGCTTCTTCAAAAGGTGTCAATACGGATGCCCCTGCAGTAAGAAATTTTGAAGGCATAACCAGTGGATGTATAATGCACCAGGCGTTTGGACAGGGGCGATTATAAAAAGGATGATTTTAACACAAGAGATGTCGTCAATTCGTAAAGCGCATGTCAGATAGCGACATTAGTGCAAATAGTGCATACGCATGATTTATTTTAATTTTGTCATAATCATCAAACAAGAAAGAACCAGCGCACGGTTCGTTTCAGAGGAAGGTAAATGAAATTGTGTTGCCCACTCAAAATTCCTTCGGGATCTTAAAGTAGGATGCTTACACAGTCATTTAAGCCTAAAATGAAAATATTCTGTCGAGCTCTTCGAAAATAAAATCGATTTTTGTGTTTTTGGCGCTAAAATGGCCTTCAAAGACGATCGATGATTCAATTCCAATGGATTGTGCATATGTAAAATGGTACATGTGTGATGGGCTCTACGTATTTTTGGACCAGGAATCGATTGAGCAGGGTCCTGAATCGGTCCAAAGCTTCATTGACTGAAAAATGGGCCTTTTTTGGATTTTAGGGGTGTTTTGGGCCCATTTCCCCCCAATTTTGGCGTGAAAAAACCTGTGCCATCATGGGTAATGATTATCGGGTCATTTCGGGCGGACCATCGAACGCACTTGGTCCCGAGACACTCCGGGGCTTCCGGAGTGATACAGGGTTTTCGAGATACAGGGGAGCAAAGTCCCCGATTTTCACTCAATTCTGCAGGTATTTTAATGTTCAATTCCGACTATAAATTGATTTCTGATTTAGATATCGAAGCGCATTTTGCGGTGGTTGATTCAGCTAGTGAGGGTTTGTGAAATATGTAGAAAAATCCACCACACGTAGCTGAATCAACCACCGCAAAATGCGCTTCGATAACTAAATCAGAAAACAATTTACAGTCGGAATTGAACATTAAAATACCTGCAGAATTGAGTGAAAATCGGGGACTTTGATCCCCTGTATCTCGAAAACCCTGTATCACTCCGGAAGCCCCGGAGTGTCTCGGGACCATAAGCATTCGATGGTCCGCCCGAAATGACCCGATAATCATTACCCATGACGGCACAGGTTTTTTCACGCCAAAATTGGGGGGAAATGGGCCCAAAACACCCCTAAAATCCAAAAAAGGCCCATTTTTCAGTCAATGAAGCTTCGGACCGATTCAGGACCCTGCTCAATCGATTTCTGGTCCAAAAATACGTAGAGTCCATCACACAAGTACCATTTTACATATGCATAACCCATCGGGATTTAATCATCTATCGTCTTTGAAGGCCATTTTAGCGCCAAAAACACAAAAATCGATTTTATTTTCGAAGAGCTCGACAGAATATTTTTATTTTAGGCTTAAATGACTGTGTGTGCATCCTACTTCAAGATCCCGAAGGAATTTTGAGTGGGCAACACAATTTTATTTACCTTCCTCTGAAAAGAACCGTATGTAGCGCAGACGTTAAGACGTTAATTTAACTTTCGTCTTTTCGGAAATAATTACGACTACTATTGGATTGTTCAGGTATAAAGGAAGGCTCAGTTCAATATTAACCGCAACTGTTCGACTTTAATTTAGCAAATCTCTCAGCATAGAATCCTCCCAAAACAGGTTATTGCATCCACATATTTGCCTGATCGATAATACGATGGTCTTATATTTTAAGTGTGGAATACAGCTCGTAGCATTTGATCAATATAAATTCATTCATATAACAGCGCAATTAACCCTTCGGTAGACTGGAATAAATACGAACTTACCTAGCAGATGTCTTCCTTTCCGTGTATTGTTTCTGTCGAATTCATCCGAGGTAGGAGATTTTGCGTCAACCATCTTTCTAAATCTCTTGTAAAGCTCAATTTCATCTTTTTTTGTCAGATTATAATTGTATATCTGAGCACTTGCGCCCATCTAAAATGTAAAAGATAGATTTATTTCCATTACACATGAAACAATTCGTTCTAAGGCGTAGTGTGTTCTGGTTTTTCAGAATATTAATTTTTATATCCCATACAAAACTGGTTCCTTTTTCGTGATCCTAAACGAAACTTTTTTTTTTTTTTTGGCAGCATTTTTCTCAAACTCTCATTAGATCAAATATATCCAGGAAAGCGTATTGCTGAAAATTCTTAAATACCAACTTCGAATTAAGCAAAAAACCTTTGAAAAAAACCTGCTCCCGATTTTGGTTTAGTGCATATTGAATCATTCTTTTTAAAATGACAAGGATGTTATTTTCAGTATTTCTAAAAATTACGTTCTTATTTTTTAATAATCATAGTGTCAGTGTTAGGATGTCACCAAGATTAGCGCTTCAAGTAAATGTTTCGTGTCGTCAAAAGATTCATTTATATTGTCTGTATAGCCCACTGATGACCTCATTTTGTTTATTGTATACCTTGTATTGTATTAAGTATGGCTCATTCTTGACTTAACCTTTTTGCACCGCACCTATTTAAAGTGGCCTTACAAGACGGGGGAACGCATCATAAGAAGGAATATTTTCGGATCATCTCTATCACTTTCCTCATTTTCCTTATCATTCAATTCATATCAACGTGTGTAATAATTCTGCACAAAATTGTATGCTAAATTATTATAGTGTTGGTGAGAATGTAGTGAAGAACTTACGCACACCAAGAGGAAAAAATAAGAAATTAAAACAGCACATGGGCTTAGTAAACAAAAATTCAGACCGCCGTTACACCATTGCATCTTTCAAATCAAAAGCGAGGAGAATGCAGTTACATCACGGATTTTCTTTTCTTTCCACACGTGGAGTGATTATGATCATATGGATCTCGCGTGGGAGTGTTATCGACAGTGGCGTGGGGTGTTTTGCGATATATCGATTGATCCGTCATTTAAACCTACGGAAAAGGATCGGTGAACAGAGTGCTCGCAACAATTACCTTAATAATCGATTCTTTACCACAGCTTCAAATGGGGAGATATCGATACTCGCGATCATTAACGCCTAGCCACTGGTTATCGGGCAGTTTCTCAAACGTATCATTCCAAATGTTGTAGTCATTCCCAATTCATATCAGATAGAATTCAAGTGGAGTTCAGTAACCGTTAAACCAGTGGCATGGCGTGAACAATCGATTATCGATATTTCCCCAATTGAAGCTATGGTAAATAATCGATTATTAAGGTGTTCGTTACGAACACCCCATTTATCGATTCTTTTCCATAGGTTTAAATGGCAGATCGATCGATATATCGCAAAGCACGCCACGCCACTGCGTTAAACACGCATATCTTGAAATAGGAAAAACTGCACTTATGCGCCTTACCCTCCAAGCCCCTCATAGAACCTCTTGATTTAATTTTATTTTTTTTTATTAGTTTTTAATTGTTTTTAGTGAGCCTTCACATGGAAATATGAATGTGAATATAAAAGCAATCGAGAAACTTGTAACTCATTTGAATTTAACAAAATTTAATTTCTTCAATTTATAGTTTTTTCCAGCATAAATACGTTCATGTTAACTCTCGAGGAATCGTAATAAAAATTTATTTGAAATGACAATCATGATTTCAATCATGGAATCAGTGGTTAGCACTTAATTTGCACTCCATTATCGCAAACAATAATGGCTCACTGGTGAAATAATTACAAATCAGCAAAATGAGAAATTAAATCTATTTTTAAGCTTTAAAAAAAAACCATCAGTAATCAGTCATGATGATCACATATTGTCAAATCATGCAAACATTCATTTCTGCAATTATTAGTCAGGTCAGGTTGTAATGTTCAGTGCTGAGACACGACTAAGAAGATAAGCAGAATCGGCATCCTGCACCGATGAAAATTTTATTTGAATCAAAAACAATTTCTATTTGAATTATTATTGAAAAGAGGATTCCAGTTTCTTTTTGTTAAAAATAAAGCTTGAATTGTTTTAAATGAAATGAGGGAGTGTCTAATAGTCTTATAATGAGTTCCAGTTAATTTAAAAGAAGTTCTTATTGAAATGACTGGCATTATTTTGGAGAAAATATTCTAAGTCGCTTCGGAAACTCCTGTGGATTTGGATGAAACATTTAGGGCCTAAGGAAGTTGCAAGTGCGATTTGTGGATGGTTTGACGGACAAAAAAAGAAATTAATAAAGCAAAAACGAAAAAGACACGAGTTTTAATAAAGCTGAACTTTACTAGTATTAGGTCACCAAGTTCAAAAATGACACTGTTGGTTTTTGACAGCCTCCGTTTTTACGGCCAGCCCTTCCTACCTTTTTTTGTAAAAAATAATGAATGAAAAAACTGATGTCACGTACTCCTCCCCCCCCCCCCCCNGGTAATAATATCTAATTTCTGGATTCGGTGAATGAAAACTAGTAGAAACAGTCCATCATAACTTGTGCCACCTTTTGGTTTTCTTCTGGTGTTTTCATCTCTAAGTCATGGCAAAACTGCTGAGGTGCAACGAGAATTTGATGTCGGTTCTCCAATAATTCAACAAATCCGTGACCGTCACAATCTAAACTTTGAGAGCTTTTTCTCGTGTTTTAGTTAATCATGACGAAACTGATAGCACCGTTGTGTAGTCCGCAAAATTTTACGGGAGTTTAAATTGTTGATTACAATTCTCAGGCCATTGCAGGATAATTCCATTAAAACGAGGGGAATGCTTAAGTTTTTCTCTTATTTATTTAAAGACCTTTCAGAATGAGCGGAATGCATTACGTGCTGTTGTGAGTGCGTACTTTATTCAGGTTCCGTGACACGCAGACGCTCTCTCATCGTTTTAGGCGTTTATGAGTGTAAGAGTCTAACTAGTTTATCTCAAAGCCAGAGTTTATATTTCATTTCCATCACTGAGATAAGTTTCTACGTGAATCTCAAGAAACTCAAATCGAATACTTCCCGCAAATAACCCCAGTTGCCCTCGGCCTCACTGGAAACAATTTCCCGTTATCGTAAAAGCATTTTTTTTAACTGCGGAAATATTTTTGAAATGAACGGATTTTTTCCTCGAAAGATATTCGATGGAGGCTCACTTTGATTTAATTATAAATTTTTTTTAGAAAAAAAAAATGTGTTCTTTGAATTTCCTCAAATGTATGCACTGGAAAAATTATATTTGAATGAAATACGAGTGAAATCGACTGTTTACCGCCAAATAATGCGCGGCGAAGAATCCCAGTTGAAATGAAAAAGAGAACGAAGGCGAGTATTTGGGTACCTCAGGAGGAATTCATTTTGAGATAACTGGACTTATTTCAAAAGCCACCAACATCTTTTTAAGGGTAATATGTAATGGAAATTATTTTGGATTCAAAATCAAAATTATTCTCAGTGTCCTGCCCATTTCCAAGCCCTCCCAGAATCATATCTTAAAATCTGCCCTAAACTAACTGTTTTGGACTTTCCTGAGATTATCATCCCCAAACCTTAAAGAGGCTGGCGGAGCGGAGACCGCAAGTTTCGTCGTTCATTTAGAAACTTTCCCAACTCGCTCCACAAGAGCTAAGTGGATATGCACTAATAAGCTATTACCACCCCACTCTCAGAGGTCGGTATCTTCATTCATTTCCAAGACTGTTACTTTTACGATACTCATAAAATGCGTTTTACATTAAACTTTTTGATTATTTTTCGCCACCTAGGCCGTTCGGAGACCGATCCGAGCTTTTTAATTGATAGAAAGAGAGAAGGCGGATATCGAGGGGCACATCTCCGAGCAGTCACAATTCACGAGACCTAGTTTAAGGCATTATTACCTCCCCCCCTTTTTTTATGCATGGCGGGAAAAGAGGTAAAAGAGGTGAAAATACTTCCCGGAGCGGAAAGAAAAGCCTTGAACTGGGGTTATTGTTGAGAATTTTAATGGAATTGGATCAGTGGCGTGGCGTGCTTTGCGATAAATCGATTTATCTGCCCCTGAAACCCATTGAAAAGGATCGATAAACAAGGTGTTCGCAACGAACACCTTAATAATCGATTCTATTTCATATCTTCCAATGGGGAAATATCGATAATCGATCGTTCACGCCTCGCCACTGAATTGGATGGAGCGTTGCGGATCTTTATGAGTGATCGGATTTACAAAAGAAAATAAACCTAGTTTGCTTTTGAACGGTTTGTCGCGATACCGCCACGCCAACGTGACCCAGCGACTATATAACATTGCAGTCGGAGTAGTTCTAGCGCATGGAGGTGCGTTTTTGAACTCGATGTCTCCCCGCCCCTTTTGTTGACTTTCAGACGTAAACATCGGGGGAAAAGCGGTGTTCAATCGACTCAAGGTTCAGCGGCGAGCAGTCGGAAGGAAAGGACCCGCTAAGTTTACCTCTGTTTTAAGAACTTTCAGAGTCTGGAACTATCAAAACGTTTTAAATACTCTGAAAATCCACGACTGAAGTTTTGGAAACGACTTTTCCTGTTGGATTTCGTTGTTTGTGCACTTCTCTATTGTGTCAGTAGCGTGACAATATTTTCACACTAAGCGATTTCTTTTTTTTAAAAGCTAGTTTGGATTTTTTCTATCAAGTATGGATACATGCACTGCATGCCGTGCTAAGCAGGAACGCCGTAAATCCATCAAGACTTTCTCTCTTTTTTTGGGAATTAACACTTCTTAAAATAAAAACCGTTCCACCCACGCTTCTCAAATTTTCAAGTTAAGTTCTTGATAGTATTTACAAAAAAATTGTGTAAAAACGTTGCCCCAAGGTACACAAATTTTTATGCTATGATATTTTTTTTCCAAAAAAAATTAAAATGGCGTTTACGGCGTTTTTGCGTTGCACCGCAGTGCAGTCAACTTTTGAAAAACACTTGATGTGGGTAAATTTTTAAGTCTAATTTTAACTAGGAAGTTGGTGGTGTGGCCAGTGTGCGTCACAATTCAGCGTAAAGCTGAACATCTCAATACAGAGGGAAAAAGCTCATTCGAGCACAATTTTCCCTTCAAGAGATATGTTGCATGGCGCAACACAAGTTACTAATGACGATCAAAAGTACTGTCAAATTCAAAGACTTGCAGTCTTTTAACGTTTCACCGTCTGACGTTTGTTTAATTCATTACATACTTCAATTAGATTTGCCTCGGAATTCAATCTATTCCCCTCTCAGACTTGCAGTTTAATGGACCCCTTTTTGCAATTAGGGATTACAATTTCACAGACTTGTCTATCAAAGGGCCTGTCTGCATAGAGAATCTAATACCACATATGTTGTTTCTGAATTGTGCTATTGATAGTAGTTCTTCATTGCAAAATGCAGTCCAAACATCTCTTGTAGGCACAACCCTAGCGTAAATATTACCTTGCGGTGAGCTAACCATCACCTTGCGGCAAGGTATCGGCCTATCCACCCTCACCGAGCCCTATCCGAGCACTCGCCGGGTCAGTTCGTGGAACTTAACGACTGGGAATAATTATGCATGGCAACGCTGGAGACGAAAATCGTACCCAACACGGGGTATTTCCCGATGCAATGTCGCCTTTTTCAAGCCCTGCGTCTGGATTTGGGTCTACAGCGTTGTCATACGGTTTTCATCCCGGTCGTCGAGTTCCTTGAACTGGCTCGGCGAGGGCTCGGATAGGGCTCGGAGAGGATGGATAGGCCGATACCTTGCCGCAAGGTGATGGTTAGCTCACCGCAAGGTAATATTTACGCTAGGGAAATACTGGGTGAAAATCCCCATCCCTTTGTAACTGAGTCTTCACGTTCTGACACCGCTGGTTCAAAGTTTGCAAAGTTGCAGTGCTTTATTTCAACTTCGATCTGAGTATATTAGCTGAGCTGCGTTCAGAATGACGACAGAGGCGGATC